ATATATATATATATATATATATATAATTATAATTGCTATAGTTTATTGGCAGGTACTTTATACAGGTAATTTAAATGTTGCCACATGAAGCACTTTTATTACATTATATTAAATTTGGTGTAAATATTCCATATAAACTGCATACATAGGCCTACAAAGTAAAAACAATGAAATAATAAAAAAAAAAATAATAATAATAATAATAAAAAGCAGTAGCTAAACACTGTTGTTTAGTGGTCTATAACTATATTAGCTTCCACACCAACAGACAATAACATTCTGTTTATTATAAGTGTGAACTGCAGTTATGTTATCTGCTTATTAAAAGTCGGGTGAATTTGGAATGTCAATGTTTTTATTACTCATTAACTGGGAAAAAAAAATCACTCTCAAAGTGATTCCAAGGATAACATTTCTTGGCATTTGAAGTGGATCAAAACCTTTCATCAAAGTTGTCCTAAAACGCGTTCTTGTTGAACTTTTTTAGATCCACTTCAAATGCTGAAGCGCCATCCGCCAACACAAAAGCTTCCAAGAGCGCGCTGAACTCGTATTTCCCTGAAGACACTGGTAGGAGCAGAACGATGTTGTCGCTCGGCTCCGAAGCAAAAAGCCAGACAATAACATTCTGTTTATTATAAGTGTGAACTGCAGTTATGTTATCTGCTTATTAAAAGTCGGGTGAATTTGGAATGTCAATGTTTTTATTACTCATTAACTGGGAAAAAAAAATCACTCTCAAAGTGATTCCAAGGATAACATTTCTTGGTGTCGTTATCGTTATAGTTGTGGTGTGGACATCCCAATTAGGACGATTATTAAAACGTATCTATAGTTATCGTTAAAGTTTTCATCCTTGGTGTGAACAGGACTTATGAGTGCACTGATAGTTATGTCTAAATTCAGATCCTTCTAGGTGTGTTGATGCAGGCTGATTTCAAATTATTTGGATGTTGGAATGATGCCGTTATATGAAGCATAGATCATGTGGTGTGGAAATGAGATTCAGGGCTGCAGTGCAGCAGAGTTTAAAGCCTGCAAACGGGCCCTCATGAGGAGTGATTCTCATGTGAGATTACATACTGTGTAAAGTGATTAAGAGAAATGGATTCAGACATGAGATGATTCAGAGATGATGCACACAAACTCTATTGAGCAATACAGGTAATGCTCTTGTCCTGTTGAGATTGATTTTGTGAATCTGTGGGGCTCTAGAGATGCTAATAATGCATGTGTAAAAATAATAACATTGTAGGTATTTCAAAATTAACCTATTATGTTCCCTTTTATATATATAAAAAATATATTTTCCTCTAACCTAATTAAAGCCCAGTAGACAGATATTATTGAAGTCAAATCCACATAGACCACACAGGCAGGACTTGATGCAGGAGTGAGATCACAGATCATAGAATATTTGCTTGTGGAAATTTATGGATATATTTATGCTTTATACCTGGAGGCATGCAGAAGACATGTGCAGTCTTTAATGGAATACTTTCAAAACACTGTGTTCATGAAAAGCAAAGTTCATACTCTGAATTCTGATCGTTATATCATAGCTGATATATGCAGCGGCTAGAGTCCTTACCAGGTCAAGAAAATATGATCATATTACCCCAATTTTACAGTCTCTGCACTGGCTACCTATTAAGTTCCGTATCAGTTACAAAATATTATTACTTGCCTATAAGGCCCTTAATGGGTTAGCTCCTGCGTACCTAACTAGTCTTCTACCACGCTACAAACGTGAGTTTAACAGAATTTTAGTATATGTCTTGTATGTACTACTGTTCAAAATTTGGGGGCTGGTAAGATTTTTAATGTTTTTTAACGAAGTCTCTCACGCTAACCAAGGCTGCATTTATTTGATAAGTAACTACATAAAAACTATAATATTGTGAAATATTATTATAATTTAAAATAACTGTTTCTAATATATTTTAAAATGTAATTTTCAACAGCCATTACTCCAGTCTTCAGTGTCAATCAGTGAGCCTTCACAAATTGTTGTAATATGCTGATTTATTGCTCAAGAAACGTTTATTAATATTATTGTGGAAAACTGACACTGTTCGTTAAGGGGTCTTTAAAGATTCTGCTTCACATTGTGCTGAAGAAACCCCTTTAACCGTAATAAAATCACTGTAATGTATGGTCTCTCATGGCATATTGCTTAATTATAATCTGTTCTCATAAAAGTGCAAGTGTGAATGTGAACATTTTTAAGGATGCATAAACATTTTACCTCTCGCTGCACATGGAATTAAGGAACTCGTTATGGAGACATGAACCTATAGAATGAATTAAACATCAGGCCTGGATCTCTCTCTCTCTCTCTCTCCCTCTCTCTCTCTCTCAATTTCAATTTCAATTTCAATTTAAGAGTGCTTTATTGGCATGACAAAAATTATACATTTGTATTGCCAAAGCAATTGCAGCTGGACTGCTTACAAATAGTGCACATATGTATTAACAGAAAGAAAAAGAATAATAGTAATAATAATATATAAAAAGTATTAAGCATGTAGTGCAAAATGAATTACTAATGTATGTAAGTATATAAACTAGAAATAAAAATAAAATAAGGGATTAGACAGATTTACAGAAGCAAAATATACATCTAAGTAATATAATACAGTAATTTGGCATAATATAATCTACATGTGCTGGAAACATCAGATATGGGCAGGTTGAGTGTTTTCTCTTCTATGGTGACAGGCAGACACATATTGAGCAGCAAACACACAGCAGTTCTTCTGTTCTCCTAACAGATACGGCAGTTTCTCCTGGTTTGAAAGAGTTTTAAATGTCTGATGGGTCTGCTGTGTTTTATCATAGAACACTGTCCGTATATCTGTGTATTTGGGGCATTCTGTTAGGAAGTGCAGTTCTGTTTCTTGGTTAACATGTTTTTCAATTAGAGTATGTAATGTATAGATGTGATCAGATGTACGGTAATTTGGTAAAAATCCGATCTGGCTTCTGCTCAGTACATTGTGTGTGGCGATGAAGTCTAATAGTCAAGCATTTATTATGCTACAGAATAGTTTTCCCAGGTTGCTGCTCACACAGATGCCTCTGTAGTTGTTAGGATCAAATTCATCTCCATGGCACACAGGAATATATCTTTTCTGGATGGGAGCAGTTCCTTGTGGATTTTAAGCCAGGTGTAGTATTTGCCTTGCTTTACTGTGTTGATGTGGTTGTGGAATTGTGATTTGTACCAAATCATTTGTCCTCCTGAGTTATTTGTTATTTATTATTTATCTCTCTCTCTCTCTGACCAGGACTTTGATGCACTGAAGTGCACTGCACATTTACTCTTGGCTTGAGCAAAATATACAAGTAGGGGTTGGTGAACAAAAGTGCACGTATCTCAAGATTTCATGTTTTCTGTATCTTGCTTTTATTATCCATTGATCTCCCATCCTCTTTCACTCTAATATTATCTCACCCTCATTTTTTCTCCACTGCTCTTTCTGCTCTCTACCTATGTTGTTGTCCTCTGAATCATGTTTAACTAATTATCGTCCTTCTGACGCAATGAACACAATGTTCTTCGATTTCTCTGTAGTGTTCCAGAGGTTATATGGATATGGAAACAAAAACATTGTATTGTTTAAGACAGCAGATATTTAGATGAAAAGCTCAAATATGGTTAAAGGGTGTATTAATACATTTTCAACCAGCTTTGTATTGTTACTTTGTTGGTATAAGTAAATGAATATTGTGTATAATTTTTCTGTGACTGGACCAAGATAGCCCTGTTTATTTGTCAGCAAATGTCTGCAGGATGACACATTTTACGTACTATTTGCAAACTATTTTCTGCATTTGTAACCCTGCTCACAAATAGTCTGATCGTGCCCAGTGCATTATGGGTGCTGATTTTTTAATTGCTTTTTTTATTTTTTTTACTGCATAGACAGCCAACTATTATTAAAACCCCATCTTGCCAGTGATTAATTGCCCCTTTGTAAGCTGTTTTTGCTTAAAGGTGCTGTATGTAAGTTTTTTACTCTACTAAAACGTAAAAATACCATAATATGTTTGCAGATATTTAAGAAACATCCTAAGCTAACATATTTGTTTATCTGAAAAACAATGCTACAGTCAGTTATTCTCCTTTGAAAATGTGCATTCCGGGCCGGAATGTCGGTCTCTGTTTTGGTTTGTGAAACCCACCCACTGCCAGTTTATCCAATTGTATTTCGGCACTACGGGTTGCCAGTTGGTGGAAAACACAGTGTATTTCATTGCATTCATCGTCAAGTGTGCTCGTTCCTGTTGGTGTCGTCAATCTGGCAACCTGCATGTGCGTCAAGTCTGAGAAGGAGGGGCCGGGTGAAAAAAAACCCCTCTCCAATATTTTTTATTTGGACTCCAATACCTAGTTCAACCACTCAATGTCAATCCTGCATACAGCACCTTTAAGGACCAAAAATTGGCATAGACCCTCAATTGGCGAACGAACACGAAAACATGTTTGTTTAACATACATTACAAAAGTAAACGACAGTGTCTCTAATTTCAAACATATTTATTTATACTTAAATAACTCACTTATATTTAATTAACCTTATGAATATTAATATTGTATTAGTATTAGTCATAGTATTATTTTCTTCTGTCTTGTTCTTGTTTTTGTTGTGTAATTATTTTTATATATTATATTTATTATTGTTATTATGGTAACACTTTACAATAAAATCCTGTTTGTTAACGTTAGTTAATGCATTAGCTAACCTGGACTAACAATGACCAACACACACACACACACACACACACACACACACACACGTTAACAGATACAACTTTTTATTAAAAAAATGTGTATGTTGAAATTAACATTAAAGGAACACTCCACTATTTTTGAAAATAGGCTCATTTTCCAACTCCCCTAGAGTTAAACAGTTGAGTTTTACCGTTTTCAAATCCATTCAGCCGATCTCCGGGTCTGGCGGTAGCACTTTTAGCTGTAGCTTAGCATAGATCATTGAATCTGATTAGACCGTTAGCATCTCGCTCAAAAAAGACCAAAGAGTTTCTATATTTTTCCTACTTAAAACTTGACTCTTCTGTAGTTACAAGTGTACTAAGACTGACGGAAAATGAAAAGTTGCGATTTTCTAGGCCGATATGGCTAGGAACTATACTCTCATTCCGGGTGCAGCAGGCGCAATGATATTACGCAGCGCCTGAAAATAGTCCCCAGCACGCTCCCTGTGCAAGCAGGTGGTCACGTTGGTTATGTTGACGGAAGTTAGCCTATTTTCAGGCGCTGAGTAATTTCATTGCGCCTGCTGCACCCATGGTACGGCAGCAAAGTCCTTGATTATTACGCCGGAATGAGAGTATAGTTCCTAGCCATATCGGCCTAGAAAATCGCTTTTCATTTTCCGTCGGTCTTAGTACACGATGTAACTACAGAAGAGCCAAGTTTTAAATAGGAAAAATATAGAAACTCTTCAAAAATAGTGGAGTGTTCCTTTAAATCTATGTGTTTTTCCTCCAAAGCATAGGATGATATTCCTTATCAATGAATCCATGATTTTCTGTGTTGTCTATAGGATACAGCAGGACAGGAACGGTATAGAACTATTACTACAGCTTACTATAGAGGAGCCATGGGCTTCATCCTCATGTACGACATCTCAAATGAAGAGTCCTTCAATGCAGTGCAGGACTGGTGAGCAGCTTTAATCCGGAATCCATAGGGTTTATCCACTGAAGTTATGTGCCATAAATGCGCTTTTGCTTTCAGGGCAACACAGATTAAGACCTATTCATGGGATAACGCTCAGGTGATATTAGTGGGGAACAAATGTGACATGGATGAAGAGAGGGTGGTGCCTTTTGAGAAGGGCAAACACTTGGCCGACCAGTTAGGTAAGTTATATGTCCAGCCTTTATCTGATTCATTGGTTTTTGATCTGATTTCTTCGGATTCGTTCTCACAGGGTTTGAGTACTTCGAAGCCAGCGCCAAGGAGAACATCAACGTCAGACAAGTATTCGAGCGCTTAGTTGACATTATCTGTGTGAAGATGTCCGAGAGAGTCGATACGGATCCACCCATGGTCACCGGTGCCAAAACCACCCGGCTAACCGATAAGCCGCCCCAGCTACCTCAGAATTGTTGCTGATTTCCATCTCAATTCATATGCCAACTTATCAGCAGCGGATCCGATGTTGTTTGATGTTCTGTTATATGGCGATTGGAACCAATCTGGGGTGCGTTTCATA